TCGTGCCCGGGGCGCTCTGTGCTCAGCAAAGCACCCACTGAACGGGCTGCGGTGCACTAGCAATTAAAAAGTGCAAAATGACAAATACAATGGAAAAGGCAAAACCTCTGAGGGCGCTGCCCCCCCCCCACTGCCCGCCACACAACTGCTCGCCCACGGAAGACACGGTTCCTGCCTGGAAAAACCTCTTCTCCCTGTTCCCGTAGCAGGGATGCGACCCCTGCGCTGGCTCGGCTCAGGGTGCAGCGGCAGCCAGGAGCTGCGAGAACGGCCCAGGCACCAGTTCGCTCGGGGGTGCGCACCCCAGCAATAAAGCGAGTATATATATATATATATTTCTCTCTCTGTCTCTCTCTCTCATGCAGCCCTAGTAATAGAAGAAGAGCAAACAGCCAAGCAAGAGGTCTGGATGGGAGAGCCTGTTTGAGGGGAGCACCCGTTCAACTGCCGGGCACCCCACAGCCCCGGGCACCCCAAGGCACGCTTAAACAGAGCCCTCACCTCCAAAAGTGGTTTTTTTTCTAGCTTATGTTTTACAGCAGTACCGTAATACCCTACTATATACAGAGACCTGGCGCTGCAGGAGCTCTGGGACTGGGACTGGAGCCGTCCCCGTCCCCGCAGGGGCTGCAGTGCCAGCACCTCGCTGCCAGCACCTTGCCGCCTCCCAGCCCGGTGCGGGCTAGTGGAGTGGGCAACCGGGGTCTCACAGGAGCCTGGGAGCTGCCTACGGCTCCCACCACCCCCTTGACTTGCATGGGGGATCCAGGCTATCCTGCCTGTCCCAGGGGTCCCTCCCGGCCGGGCAGGGGGGGGGCAGCGGGGTGGTGTCTCCCCTCTGCCATCGCCGCTCCACCCCGCACGAGCCCAAAGTGCAGCTCGCCTCTGGAGAGCGGCTTTCCAGCTGAGGCCGTTCTCCCAACCATGGCAAGCTGCTGCTAAGCCTAGAAGCAAACCCAGCTACGGGACACGCTGGGAGTGCGGGGCGGGAGGGGTGTGTCTGCCATCGCGCTAGTTCTGTGCAGGCAAAGGCTACGTGGCAGCGGTTTAACCCTCTGCCACCGAGAGGAATAAGCTGGGTCTAGAGAAGAGAGAACTAGGGCACTAGCTTTAGCCTTTGGCTTTCAAAGCAGCAGGATTAAATAAACTCCGCCTAAAAATGAAGTCCTGGAAAGCCAGACATGCAGCGGCGAGGAGGAGGCGGCGAGTGCCGCGTGGCACGGCGGACACCAGCGCTCCCAGATCAGCTGATGAGCGGAGCCGAGCGGTCGTTCGTCACTGTTGGTTTCAGCTGGACGTTGGCAAAGGGGTTTCTGCAGAGAAAGAGGAAGGCAGAGTTTAGCAGGAGGGATGGCGGCAGTGGGGCCTGCGAGGATGGGGCACCGGCACAGCGAGCGGCGACGTGATGAGACCCCAAAAAGCTTTTGCTGCAGAGCCGAGACAGCCCCGCGCTGCAGAGAGGCTGGGGTGGGCGAGGCTGAGCCCAAGCCCTAGTGGGGCTGTCGGCGAGCCTGGAGCCACCAGCCCTGTCCCCTCCACCTGCTGGGTTCAACAGCATTTGGGAAGGAGTTAAGTTGGAGCTGCTCTGCCCTGCAGAGCCCTTGGGCCGAGCTGTCCCCTGCTCCTCTGCTTCTCTCACAGCTAAAGCAGTGGTGGATGTAAGAGATGAGCCAGCAAGGGCTGCTGCATGCGGGATGTTCTCCTACCTCGCTTTCCAGCAGGCCTAAAGCTGGGGCTGCTGAGGAGGGCCAGGGCTGGAGAAGCTGCTCCAGCCCCCAGGCTGGGCTCAAGCCATTCCCACGCGTGGGAGCACCCTGAGATCAGAGCTTGCAGCTCCGTGCTGTGCCAGCTGGGAAGCCTCTGGAGAAGCCAAATGTCGGAGAGGCAGAGCACGGGAAAGGAAGGGTGCCCAGATGAGCCGGCTACGCAGGAGCTCGGCAGAACCACGAGGCCAAGCCCAGCCTGGCTCCCGGCAAGCCAGCCTCGGCTGCCCCGGGGAGCAGCAGTATCCCGCAGCCAGAGCTGTGAGCGGCCGGGCTGAGCTGGGCTTTACCTACCTGGGGCATCCCCAGCGCTGTCCTGCTGCCGCCAGCGCTCACGGCTACAGCTATTGCTGCACGCGGCATCTGCAAATGCGCAGCCCTGACATGCACACGTCCTGCGGCCGGGACGGGGGACAAGGGCTGCTGCGCAGGGTGCCGTGACACGAGGAGCACCCTTACCTGCCCTGGGGAGGTCCCCTCTGTCCCCTCCTAGCAGCACAGCAGGAGGTAACTCCCGAAGAGTGCAGGCAGCCGCGGGGGTCCCTGCGGCTGCCTGTGGTGCACGGCCCCCCCTGGGCTGCCCAGAGCCATCGGGTCCAAACCCGCACTGGGATCATTGGCTAAGGGAGCTGCAGAGCACCCCTGCAGCCCCGCACACCCCCTGCCTCTCCTGCCTGCAGCCAGACAGCCCTTCCCCGCCTGGCCGGCCCCGGTTCAGCCTCTGCCCCCAGCCCTCCCCAGGGCTGCCTCTCCTTTCTGCGATGGAGGCAGTGGCCGTGTGCCCGCACCAGGGAGCCCTGCTCAGCCCCCAGTGCTGCCACGTCCCTACACGCCAGGTCCCACGGCCGGGCCATCGGCACATCTCCCCCACGGGGCACAGCTCTGCCATCCTGAGACAGGGGTGCAGGTAAAGTGCTAGCAAGACAAACATGAACATGGGCTTAAGCCACCTAAGGAGCAGCCGTGGTTACCGTCTACCTCCGCCTGGACCCGAGCAGCTTTGGGCTGTCCCTGGCCACCTCCCCTGGGCCAGCAGGAAGGGGCTCAGTCCCCCCGGCCCCCCAGGAAGGGCACTCGCTGCTTCCCTTGGCCCCTCTCCCCTGCCATCTCTCACCTCTCCGAGTGTGCTTTTGCTTTACTCAAAAGATAAATGGCTTTTGCTTAAAAATAGGGTAATTAATTTCCCACCTAATTAATGCAGATTCTTAGATCCCTTTCCCCCCCAGGAGGCCAAAATAGATTCTCAGGACTGGAGGGAGAGGAAAGGTTGCTTTGATGAGTCACCAGGGGTTATTATTTAACTATTTTTGTTCTGGCAGAGAAGAGCCATTGGGACGGGAGCCCGCAGCTCTGGCAGCCACGGGAAAAACCAGCTCACAGATCAAAGAGAAACAGGGAAGGGGCCCTCCTGGGCTTTGCAATGCCGGCAAGGGGGGTCTCGGCTCCTGGGGATACTCCTCCATCCCTGCCCTGGGGCCACGGCCGGGATCAGGACGAGGAGGCTCCCGAGATGCATCCCCAGGGTGCTCTACAAGCAAAAGAAGCTGCTCAAAAAACTTGACGTTAGCGTGGATCTGCTCTGTCCCCACGGGAGAGGGGTGGGGACGGCGATGCAGCGACTAGGCACTGGTGGGACAGCAGACACCGGAGACCTACAACCAAAAAGTCTGGTTATGGGGAGCAGGGGAAGCGGCGGGAGCAGGAGGAGCAGCTCAGCGTCCCTGGGGGAAAGCACTTCCCCAGCAGGCTGCCCAGCATGGCGGCGGTGCAAGGAGCCGTGCAGATGCAGTGCGGTTAGACCGGGAGCTCCCACCACCAGCACGGGGACAAGCGGTGACCGAGGGAGGGGACACGCTCGGCCGGGTGCAGGGAGGAAGCAGAGCGGTGGCACTGTCCCCGCGCAGCCCCGCGGCCATCACCCGCTGCCCAGCACCAACAAACCCAGGGCTCGGACCCCCGAGACCGTCAACTTACTAACTACGGGCAGGGGCACCTCAAAACCTGGCCACTTCAACATCAGGGCTGCAAGGGAAAGAGAAGGCAGGTTGGAGGACACAGGGATACGCTCCGACCCCTTGATGGGAACAGAAGGTGTTGGTTAAGGAGAGGAACCGGGCTACGAGCTGGCGGCCACCCCGGCGCAAGAGCCTGCCGGCTGCACCACACACAGTGCCTCTGGGCAGAGGAAGCAGGAGGAAAAAGAAGAAAAAGGAGGAAAAGTCATGTTTATTGAGTTGCTGGTGCTGCCCACCAGCTCCCTTGCGAGGAGGGGAAGGAAGGGCACAGCCAGCCGGGGCACCGGGAGCCACCTGCGGAGAGGAGAGGCCACGCATGGTGGGGGCTACGGAAGGGAGGGGGGCTGCTTCCTTCCACCCAGCCCCGGCCATCACCGCTTTCCCACCACTGCCGGGCCAGGAAAGCACAGCCGGAGCCTCAGCATGCAGCAAGCGGCAGTAGCAGCATCCTCGAGACTCACACAGAGGAGGGACCCGGCCCTTAAACAGTTTTAGCTGCTCCTGCTCAGCAAAGCTGTTTAAAGCCTGCAGGGGCTGAGCACAGACAGGCAGCACCCAGGGTCTCCCACGGCCGCCTAACGCCGAGGGGATGGAGAAGGGAAGAAAAAAAAAAGGCATGGCAATGTGCAATGGGCGATGCAGGCGGTGATGGGCAGCACACAGGCACGGCAGCCGAAAAAGACACCGAGGCCCAGCTCAATGCAATAAATAAAACTTTTATTCAAACAATAACTCAGTACAGGGCACATTTCTCTCTGGCTTTTAAAAAAGGTTTTTCAGCACTTTACAATGTCCATACAGGTTTTGCTAGGCTGGGTTTTTTTCCCCCCCCTCCTCTACATTCAGTCATTCAGCATGAAATATCCTGGGTTAAAAATCTTTAGCAAAATCAGGACATCGATGCAGGAGGGTCTTGTTACAATACGCCCATAGGCAAGTATATAAAACAAAAACTTGTCCGTGTGTGTGTGTCTGTATTGCCAGCAATGTCCTAGTAAACAGGCAATGTAAGAGGTTTTAAAAATCACATCAGAAAAAGAAAGCGTGTACAGCTTTGCAGTGGAGACGGCCACGGGCACTGGAAGGGCTACGGCCGGGCTCGGCTGCGGGAGCAGGACCCCGAGCGCCGACCCAGCAGGGTGGGAGACCCCAGCCACTGCCGAGCCCCCCGGCGCAGCGGGGGGGGGGCTGCCTCGCTCAAGCCCTGTTTAGGGATGCGAGTGCATCCTTGGACGGCTCCGCACCAGCCCCCAGCGCTAACGTGAGGTAACAATACCTTGCTACAAAAAAATATATATATATTTATAAAACAACCAGGAGTAACCCTTCCAGGGGGGCTGCCGGCTGCACCCGACAGCCAGTGGGTCTCCAGCCAAGAAGCAGCCCTTTCCCCGGGGCAGGAGCTCTGCACTATCTGCTTCTCCCAAAGCCACCGCAGCAGGCGGTTGGATGGAAGCGGATCAGGCCGAGGGGGAGGCGCGGGGCTGCTGCCCCCCGTGGGAACGGCATCCCGGGTGCGGGCATCCCGGATGCTC